AAATACTTAATGTCAAAAACTCCACAATAATCTCAGACTTCCTCATCTGATGTGAAGCGTATCCTTTAGGAGGGGGATCTCAAGTCTGGCCTTGGATTGCTGCAGTTCGGTTAGAGTCAGTTGTTTTTCTGCCAGGCGAAGCTGTGCTTCTGCCCTTTCAGTCTCTTTTTGCAATTGTTGAAAGAGATTTCAAAAATCAGTCATTGCCATTTCTTGCATTTTTTGTTTATTCTGTAATCATTGCTATCATCATTAATAAATATTCTAATAAGAAAAATAATTTCCATTGTGATGAATACATATATATATATATAGCCTGACAGATGAACAAATAAAATTAAAACCTTATGAATAAATAGTATATCTCGTAAGATACTGCATGATCCAAAAACAGTATTGTTTAAATTTTTTTTTTAAGTTTTCATGACATTTTAGGCATGAAATCCACGCTAAATCCACCCTTCTGATGGGATCAGTTTAATCCATGTTTTTTGGATCAAAGTGATCCAGATCCTACAAAAAAGGTCCGAAAAACCCAAACTAAAGGTTTGATCCGGATCAAAACAAAGATTGGATTACGTGATCTAATCCGATTATATAATCCGTTTTTTCTTTTGAAAAACCCATTTTCAAGATTTGATCCAATCCCTTATCCAAAATCCTAGTGGATCACTTTTGAAAAACCGGGCCCAGGTGACTATGGAGACTATTTGATTACAGTGAACTCATTGTCATGTTTAAAAAAAACATTCTGAGATGATTTGCGTTTTATGACATTGTGTGTTATCCTGCTGGAAGTAGCCATCGGAAGATGAGTACACTGTGGTCATAAAAGGATGGACATGGTCAGCAACAATATGCAGGTAGGCTGTGGTGTTGACACGATGCTCAATTGGTACTAATTGGGTAAACCCTAGAGATGGTTATGCATGAAAATCCCAAGAGATCAGCAGTACTCCGACCAGCCTGTTTGGCACCAACAAACATGCCACATTCAAAGTCATTTAAATCACTTTTCTTCTTCTGATGCTCGGTTTGAACTGCAGCAGATTGTCATGACCACATTTACATGCCTAAATGCAATGAGTTGCTGCGTTGTGATTGGCTGAAATATGCGTTAATGAGCAGTTTGACAGGTGTACCTAATAAAGTGGCCGGTAAGTGTATATCGCAATACATATCGCTGAAAAACAAAACATTGCAAAGGGGAATTTTTGCTTTTGGCCCAGAATTTTCTTTTTGGTGCATCCCACCAATCTAGCTTAAGACATTAATTCTTTGTGTGTTGTGTGTGTGTGTGTGTGTGTGTGTAGCTGAGTGTGGAGGACACATTAGTGGCACCACATCTGGACGGATCCTATCTCCTGGTTACCCGGTCCCTTATGACAACAACCTTCACTGCACCTGGTCCATCGAGGCAGACACGGGCAAAACCATCAGGTAAAAAAAAAAATAAATAAATAAATAATAATAAAGGTGCTTGAAAACCGCATTATGTTTTTACTTCCCCTCTGTTAATTTCCTTATAATTCCACTACAACCTATAAAGGAGCATGGTGATTGCATTTCACCCCACTGTGCGGCCTACCACTGGCTGGCATCTGTTCTTACAAATGCATTACCGTCACACAGAGGGGGAGGGTTAGTGAAAGGGCAAAAAGAATAGAGACACAAAAAGCGATAAGCCAGTTAAGCCTTCAAAAATGAGGCAAAACTCAGGTAAGCCAATTTGGCTGATCCGCATAAGGAAAAGATGGCTTACGACGAGCAAATAAAAGACGGAAGCGTAGGTGTGGGATGTAATCCATCTAATCAGGCTTCAGTTATGTCATTGACGTGCTGCAGGTGTTTCAACTATTTCTATACATATACAGGGTGTGAATACCGAACGCTCGCCAAACAGTGAACGCTAGGAAAAAATTGACTTTGGCAAGCTGGGTATATGAGTGGAGTGGAGCAACAGCAATTTCTTCTTTTTTGCACTCAAAGCATCTGTAATCACTCCCCTACAGCTCCACTCCATCACTCTCTCCCAGCTCGCAGGTGAAAGAAACCCCTCTGTGACTTCTCTCCGTACTTAAATTTGCACAGTAGCTGCTCCGCTGTAATGTTCTCTCCGTATTTCTTTTTTTTTTTTTTTAACTAAGCCTTTGCTTGAGATTTATTAAGTGAAATAGTGTGTTCAGAATTCTGTACAGTTGCGAGGGTGTTGCATTAGCTTTACGACAGGGTTGTTCGCAATTTTAAAAAGGCTGCATGGTGAGGTGGGAATTATGTTTTACCCATATACTGACTTTTTTTCTCCATATGTTAAAGGAAAACTTGGTTAATGCCATGACTTGAAACATTAAGTCTGATCTTAGATAACACTTATATAAACCATTTATGACATAAATGCTTAATTCAAGGTGGTCAGACAAAAAAAAAACATACTACTTTCTTAAATTTTGGCTTGTTTATAATCCTAATATTTTAAATATTTTAAATGGTGCCTATTTTATTTCTTTAGCAAGATGTAAGATAAGCGTTTATTGTCTCCAGACAAAATATTTAGCTCAAATTACTTATCAGATTATTTATTTTAGCCTCCAGAATCTGCACATTTTGGTGTCTGAGTACAGTGCAGCTGTTTTTGTAGCCTGTGGCTTTAAATGCAAATGAGCTGCTTCTCATCGCACACCTTTCCCACGTGCATGTCTGCTTCTCCTGCATTACTTCAGATAAACAGCAGTCAGTGATAGAGGCAGACTTTTTTCTAGTTTTATGAAATAATACGCCAAAAATAAATGAGTTTTTCCTTAAACAAGCAAAATAATCTTGTCAAAACGAGAAAACAACATTATTTTGCTTACCCCATTGTGAGATAACTTTGCTTTTTAAAGGAAAAGCTTACTTAATTTTGGCATATTATTTCTAAAAACAAGATACTATTTTTGCTTATCTAGAAAAGGCTTCTGAATTATTATAATTTTTTTTTATTTGGACTAGAAACCAAATTTGGACTTTCTCTTGCAGTGTACAACCTTGTTAAATGCAAATATTTATATTCCCATAGGCTTAGTATAGAAATAAATATTTAAATAATGGGGGCCTTTTGTTTTAATCAATTTGGTAGTTTGGAACATATGTTTTCTATGCATTTAGTAATTATTTTCCGTATTAGTAAAATGATTCAGACATCAAAGGAAGTTGTGTTTCAAGTGTTTTGATAAGCAAAGAATTGTTGCTATTTATGTGAGTTATGAAACTAAAAGTTTGTCATGACAAACAAGAAAATTTTATATATATATATATATATATATATATATATATATATATATATATATATATACTGTAAATAAATTGCTAAATATTTACTTACAATTCATTGATTTATTTTTAACTGGATGAATTTATTTATTTATTTATTTTCCAACTTTAACTGGATTTATTTATTTATTTATTACCCATCTTTAACTGGATGAGTTTATTTGTTTATTTCCCACTTTTATCTGGATGAGTTTATTTATTTATTTATTTATTCCCCACCTTTAACTGGATGAGTTTATTTATTTATTTATTTATTCATTCATTTATTTATTCATTTTCTTTTCAGCTTAATCCCTTTATTAATTTGGGCTTGCCACAGCGGAATGAACTGCCAACTTATCCTGCATATGTTTTACGCAGCTGATGCTCTTCCAGATGCAACCCATCACTGGCAAAAATTCATACACACTCATTCACACTCATACACTACGGTCAATTTTATCATACCCATGTCTTTGGACTTGTGGGGAATCCAGAGCACCTAGTGGAAACCCACGCGAACACGGGGAGAATATGCAAACTCCACAAAGAAATGCCAACTGACCCAGTCGAGGCTCGAACCAGTGACCTTCTTGCTGTGATCGTGCTACCCACTGCGCCACTGCATCGCCTTATTTATTTATTTGTGCAGATAAAAATTATTTATTATGGTTTAAAGCACTAAAAGGACATCTTATCAAAGTAAATTTACTTTTTTTATTGTACAGTGACTGTCAGTGGACCAAAATGACTATCAATCATTGTATCTGTAATCATTTGGTTATAGTACTGTGGATGCATTTGTATGCTTTTAAAAGAAAATGCAACACAATGTTCTCTCTGTACTTGATTTTCCCATAGTCTCCACTTCATAGTCTTTGACACGGAGGTGGATCATGACATTCTGAAGGTTTGGGATGGGCCGGCAGAAAGTGGCATTCTGCTGAAGGAGTGGAGTGGGTCGCTGTTACCCGAGGACACTCACAGCACCTTCAACATCCTCACGCTTCAGTTCGACAGTGATTACTTCATTAGCAAGTCTGGATTCTCCATCCAGTTCTCTAGTAAGTATCAGCTTTGCTATGTTTTGGGAAATCATTGGGAAAATGTGTCTTGGTGTAGATTTTTGAGAAGCAAGAAATATCTCCTCACGGGTACATATACCTGCATTTTGTGTGTAAAGTGAATGCTAAAGGGTGGGACTGCTGACTGGTTATGTCCATATGGATGGGTTTTCCAGCATGGCTGGTGTGCTCGATAGCTCAAATGGTGCTAGACCTGAAGGAAGAGCGGAGCTGACCATCTGACTATCTTTTAGCATCAGACAATGGACTGTTCTAGAAACCAGTAAATATAAAACCCACAAAAGCAGTGTGAGGTCACCGTAGAAGTTTGTGGTCACGATGGCTTTTCTCTTCTAGTTTGCTTTTGAAAACACTTATCGGTTAGGTTTAGGGAAGGAAGTGTGTGGGACAGTTGATATCAAGCTGGTATATTATGCAGAACGACAAACCAAACGGTTTCCCTCATAGACGCACATAAAAAGGACGTTAATATGTGCAGAAATGTACACAGCAGCCTCTGGTGGATTTACGAGAAATAGCACAAAGTAACTTATTTGAGATTGTCAAAAATGTACACAGCACCCTCTAGTACTGGGGTCCCCAATCCTGGTCCTGGAGGGCTGGTGTCCCTGCAGGGTTTAGCTCCAATTTGCCTCAACACACCTGCCTGGATGTTCCAAGTATACCTAGTAAGACCTTGATTGACTTGTTCAGGTGTGTTTGATTAGGGTTGGAGCTAAAATCTGCAGTACACTGGCCCTCCAGTAACAAGTTTGGTGACCACTGCTCTAGTAGATTTATGAAAAAAAAATGCAAAATGTAGTACATGGTGATATTTTCCGGTTCTCAGACATGTAGTCCTGGGCACATATTTCCAATGAGCCTGGGTTGGTAACTGGAGTACCTCAATCAGCTGTTTTGACAAAATGTGCAGTTTTCAGTCAAGGGGTACTCCACTAAGCACAAATAATAATAACAAATGCTATTCACACTAGGGATTCCACAATATTCAATATATGATTGAAAAGTTCAGTTCTATCTATATGGTTGAATATGGATATGTTCATTCATTCATTTATTCCTTCGTTTTTCTTCAGCTCAAGACTGATTAAGCTTTTGCGTCATGTGCTCCAGCGCAGCCTGTGCGTGGTTGCATAGCCCTTGCCGTGGCCGGTGCCCACACTGACCTCTCAAAAAATTTTATTACACGTCTCAGCAATGCATAGCGCAAGCTCTGTGGTAGAAATCTGCGCGGGACTAAATTGTGAATCCCACTCCCACCCGCTCCTGCCAGGTTTTAGTCTGAACCCGACCCCTCCCGCTTGAATTCAGCATTTGTTGTCCTGCTTCCAGACCCGCCCCATTTTCTACCCGCCGCGCCCGATCCCACTAACAGGCTGGGAGGGAACAAAACCGAAAACCACCCAGCTATACAGAGTTGTTGCCTGGCGACAACGCTGTCTGCCCTCAGCTTCGGCAGCGAGAGCATCAAAATTCGCTACATTGATCTCGTATTTAAAGGATGCGTTGCAGCATATCAGTTACATTCCTGCATAAAACATGCTTTCTAGCGTGAAAATGTTGCGCACTTCTTATCAAATTCATTTAACAATGGAAGATCAAGTTGTATGTGGTGTGGCTTTGCTCCACTTAATTATTCAATGTGTGTCCATATGTCTGAAATATCCTGAAGCAGCAATACTGTTTTGTACTGTGCTTGAGATTCCCGCTTTTTTAAAGATAAATATATGAAACATTAAAACACATCAGTAACTCGCCAGTAACTTATTTAATGCATGTTCCTGTGAGAAAACATTGTTAATAATTGAAAATATGGCGACCGCAATAATCAAACCCCTGGGAACAACTGTGGTCGGAACCAAAGTTCACAGGTCTGTGTTCTCCGAACTGCTCTCAAGCGGTGATCTTCTTCTTTCTGATTGCTTGCCGCCGACTCTCATTGAAAATGAATAACTTCCGGCTACTTTGACGATTTCGCCGCTTTCAGTGTGAACGTACGGTTAGACTGCTCTGCTCCCATTCAAAATTACACCTGTTACCGACCGCTCCTGCGCTTTTTCCGGAAATGCAGAACTCTACTCTGGTTGGTCAGCTTGGCAGCACTGACGAATATGGGCGGGACCGAGAGCCTCGCGAACCAGTTGGAGCAAGTGTTTACAATTGTTGAGTCCTTTGTAGGAGGTCCAGATGGAAATTTTTGATTTGTGATTACTTTATGATTAAAGTTGTTGTACGTTTGCCGGTTCCTGCCTCAAAATGTTTGAGCTACTTCTAGATTAAGGTAGCGTTCAAAGAAAAAAAAAAACCCAGCGAAGCGTTTTAGAATTGCTATTACAGAGCAACACAAACAGCGAGCAGAAATATGAATGCATGACAGCGCTCAAGCCTTGCGCCGTGGGTCATGCCGATCATTTGAATGCAGAAGTATAAACCAGGCTTTAGTCCCTTATTTATCAGTGGGTCGCCATAGCGGAATGAACCGAAACTATTCCAGCATATGTTTTATGCAGCAGATGCCCTTCCAGCCGTAACCCAGTACTGGGAAACACCCATACCCTCTCGCATTCACACACTCACCAACTATGGCCAATTTAGTTTATTCAATTCACCTATAGTGCATATAGGGAAACCATAGTCCATGGGAACACGAGGAGAACATACAAACTCCACACAGAAATGATAACTTGCCCAGCCGTGACTCGAATCAGCAACCTTCTTGCTGTGAGGTGACAGTGGTACTAACCACTGAGCCACTGTGTCACCCTACATATTATTTATTATACACATTATATAACATATTGTAATGTAGGCTGGACAGTATGTTTTAGTAGTATTGTAACAAAACCTTTTATACTCTTGTTAATTTCCTAAAATCCTTTGTTCATGCTCTATTTAAGTATTTTAAGGTGATTATGCAGCAAATGCTTGTTAATAGACCAGAAACTTTTGCATATGAGCTTCACACCATCACAAATGTGTGCTGCTGTGCGAGTCGGCATATTTAGTCAGGAACAGAGGTCTGCTTTCTCATGAATAAGTGATTTTCTGCTCTCTCCAATGTCTCGGTGATCCATAGCTAATTCAAAATTTATCTTTTTTATTTCAGCTACAGTGGCCACGACCTGCAACGACCCAGGGACCCCTCAAAACGGATCACGCTACGGAGACAGCAGGGAGCCCGGTGATACCATTTCGTTTCAGTGTGACCCTGGGTACCAGATTCAAGGAGTGTCTGAAATCACTTGTGTTCAGCTCAACAGCCGGTTTTTCTGGCAGCCGGATCCACCCACCTGCATCGGTGAGATCTGAATAAATGATGTACTCTATACCTCAGTAATAAAGAGGGGGGGTATATTGTTTACATAATTATTTGAAGACTTCAGATGCAAAAACCTCTAAATCCATCTGACCTTATTTCTTGTAAATGAGCATTTTCTATCAAGTTCCTCTGATAAGGCTCAGAAGTTTCATTTTATATGTAGTAATAAGTTTATTAGCTGTCACTTTAGACAATTCTTTGTTTTTTAACAAGATAAAATTTTCTATTGCGTCAAAACCAGCTAAATCCGCGTCTGCTTTTTATGCAAAACTCTCTAAACCCACCTATTGGAACAAGAGTTTTGTAACCATTAATAGCCTGGATAAATGTTCATAGTCATATTCCTAATAGCCATAATAACAATCATGATCATGGCATTCATTAAACTGTTCATATTTGCAGATGGTCTTGTACAGATTACAGACATGCTGTATACACATTAGTTCCCAGTTATGAGGAAAGGTTTAGCTGTCTCTCGTAGCTTTACATAGATGCTTTCTCATTATTACCATGACCTTCTCTAAGACTTTCAGGAATTTTATTTATTTATCTATTTTTTTTTTCCACTTAGACAGTATGCTCTGCACATTCTGGATATGTCCACAGAGAAATTCATTTTTAATGATAATGTTTAAACCATTCAAGACACATCCAGTGTGAGCTCTGAGATTTTCAAAGGATGACATATGCATTTGTGTCTTCATTTAGAGAAAGAGAGAAAGACAGAGAAACAGAGAGAGGGAAACAGCTGCTAATTCCCACTGTAATACACTACCCTTATTTCTAAAACACAGATTAGCATACTCTTGTCTCTAGTTTTCCACAATTTTCATAAATATACAAAGTTTTTATTATTCTGTCATTAACTGTTATTCCATTGGTTTTACGCTGGACATTTTAAGGTTTTTTACAGTATTTAATTTAATTTCATTTAAATAAAAAAAAAATAAATAAAAAAATAAAATTAATAAATGGATGGATAACAAATTAAATTAAATTAAATTAAATTAAATTTATTTTATTTAAATGTATTTAATTTTATTTTGTATAAGGAATACATTAAACTAAAATAAAATTAATAAATGGATGGATAACAAATTTAATTTAATTTAATTTAATTTAATTTAATTTAATTTAATTTAATTTAATTTAATTTAATTTAATTTAATTTAAATTAATTTAATTTAATTTAATTTAAGCAATACATTGTTAATTATATAATTATATTATATAATTATAATTAATAATTATAATAATTATATTAATTATAAAACGGATGGATACAGTATTTTATTTATTTATTTATTTTTTATTTTATTATGTATAAGCAATGCATTAAACTAAATTAATAAATAAATGCATAAACACTATTTAGTTTAGTTTAGTATAATCCATTGTTTAATAGATTTAATTCTAATGTATTGCTTATTGTCATTTAATTCTGTGGGATGTGGGATGACCTTTCATATTAACTGATAATGTGATTAAGAGAAATCATCCTATTATCGGACTGATGTAACATTGTTTACTGTTGATATGCTGAAGGATCACATTAATTTGCATCCTCTCTTTCCTTGTTATGACAGCTACCTGCGGGGGCAATGTGACAGGACCTGCTGGGGTAATTCTATCACCCAACTATCCTCAACCCTACCCTCCAGGAAAAGAGTGCGACTGGCGGATTGAAGTCAACCCTGACTTTGTGGTTGCTTTAATCTTCAAAAGGTAATTTTCTTATGGCTCAGTTAAACAAGTTCCTGCATGGATCAGCATAGTCAGATCCTGGAACATTATTTCTCTCCAAAAAATCGAACCCAAATTGAATCCCTTACCCTAAACCTTACCCTACGGTTTAATTTCAATCATGCCTTGTGAAGGGTTTGTAGCTAATTTAATACACTGCACTTTGAATTTATTTATTTATTTATTTATTTATTTATTTATTTATTTATTTATTTATTTATTTATTTATTTATTTATTTATTTATTTATTTATTTATTTATTTATTTATTTTTTCTTAAAATTGAAGTGTATTTTAATTTTAATGTAATTTTAATTTAATTTTATTTGTAGAGCACAATAAAAAATAAATAAATAAATAAACGGCTGACCAATGTTCTGTACAATATTCATAGTTAAAGTCTTAATGAACTAAAAGAAAATAAACAACCAACAAATTCTGGTCGGCAGACCTAAGAGCTCCTCTTGGATCATATTTAGATAGCATATAAGAGAGGTAGGAAGGAGCAAGGCCATGTAAACATTTAAAGACAAGTAGCACTTTAAAATCTATTCTAGAGTTTTCTTTTGCTTATTTGAGCAACCATATTAAAAAAAAGTGAACTACATTGACATTCTGGAAAGCCAATGTCCTTTAGAGCTTATCTCTACCTCTACCTAAGTAATCTGGTAGTGTTTGCATTGCTTTGGCTTTTTTGGGGTTAATCATTGTGATCTCCCAATAGAGAAATACTGCGAAATCTCTGTAGACAGATGGCATTTCATGCTGTTCAGCCTTTTAATCTTAAAATGTGAGCAAAATCACCTGTTTTGTCATCACTTTAGACATTACGCTAGAGAATCATTCAAATACCAGCTCTAAAGTGACGTTTGTGAAGTAGCTATGGTTTTTGCTGTTCTGACGTCAGCTGCAGATGTGAATGAATGGCGGAAGAAAGTAGTTCCTCATACAAAAAGGTTTTTTTATACACGATTTGGCCATCAAACTGTTGTATAAATGTAATGTCACACACATAGCAGTGCGATATGGCTGTATATTATCACAGTGGTGGGACACTAAGGCCTCGAGCCAAGGCACGCCTCGCACCAGTGCTGATACACAGCCATATCGCACTGATACGAGTGTAATATTGCTCATTTACTATATATATATATATATATATATATATATATATATATATATATATATATATATATATATATATATATATATATATATATATATATATATATATATATATATATATATATATATATATATATATATATATATATATATATATATATATATATATATATATATATATATATATATATATATATATATATATATATATATATATATATATATATATATATATATATATATATATATATATATATATATATATATATATATATATATATATATATATATATATATATATATATATATATATATATATATATATATATATATATATATATATATATATATATATATATATATATATATATATATATATATATATATATATATATATATATATATATATATATATATATATATATATATATATATATATATATATATATATATATATATAATATAAATAAAAT